ATCTGTCTGACAGTTAGATAGATAGCAAGAATCCTAGAGTTGGAAGGGGCCCCCAAAGGTCATCCAAACCCCAAACATCCATCTATCTATCTATCTATCTATCTATCTATCTATCTATTTATCCAACAGTTAGATAGATAGCGAGAATCCTAGAGTTGGAAGGGTGCACAATAAGGACACATTATCATCATAATATATAGTAATGTAATACTATAATAATAATAATAATACTTTATTTATAACCCGCTCTATCTCCCCGAGAGCACTCAGGGTGGTTTCCATCAAAATTAACAAATGGCAAACTTTCAATGCCAACAACAGACTATCATAATACTATATATATATATATATATATATATATATATATATATATATATGTAAAAATAAAGTAATATATTTATAAATATATATAATGTGTTATTTTATTATAATAATATATTATATTATTATATTAATATGTTATAATATGTTATAATATATTATGATAATATATTATAATATAACACAATAATATATTACAATATAATGATATAATTAGACGGGTGGATGAGGCCCTGCCCCCTGGAAGCCCCGCCCCTTGCTCACCTTGACCTGAAGGATGTCCCCTTCATGAGCCGGCCAGCCCCGCAGGACCAGCCCCGTGCGAGTGTCTAGCAACACCATGAAGCCTGAGGAGAAGCCGGCCACCACGCTCCGGCCGCTTGGGCTGACCGCCAGGCAGCGAATGAGGCCTGCGTTGACCCCGCTGGCCAGCCGGAATTCGTGCTGGAAGAAAGAAAGTCAAGGCGGGGTCAACATCCAGGGCATTCTCTTTGTAATGGAGGGTCCCTTCTCCCGAATTGTACCTGGACGCCTGGCTTGCGGTGGTCGATGAAGCGCAGGACGGAGTCGGCACTGGCCACGCAGGCGCTGCCAAAGGGGGCGGGCATGGCGCTGGCGGCCGTGATGGGCGCCTTGTGGTCCGGAGCCTCAAAGGTGCGGACGGCTTTCCCTGAGGAAGGAGGAAATAGACAGATATCTAGATAGGAGAGGATAGGATAGATAGATGGAAGGGGCCTCCAAAGGCCATTTAGCCCATCCTATTCTGCCATAATAGGGTAGATAGATAGATATCTAGGATGGATGGATGGGGGTGTGTTGGTGGGTGGGTGTGTGGATGGATGAATGGATGGATAGATAGATAGATAACTAGATATCTAGATAGATAGAATAGATGGATGGATGGATGGATAGATGGATGGATAGATAGAATGGTAGAGTTGGAAGGGGCCTCCAAAGGCCATCTAGACTACCCTATTCTACCATAATAGGATAGATAGATAGATAGATAGATAGATAGATAGATATCTAGATAGGATGGATGGGTCGGTGGATGGATGGATGGATAGATAAATAGATATCTAGATAGATAGAATGGATGGATGGATAGAAAGATAGATAGATAGAGTTGGAAGGGGCCTCCAAAGGCCATCTAGCCCACCCCATTCTACCATAATAGGATAGATAGATATCTAGATAGGATGGATGGGTGGGTGGGTGGATGGATGGACGCCACTCCTAACCCCCTCCCCAACCTTCCAGATGTGCCACACTACAAATCCCATAATCCCAGCCCTCTTTAAAAGCCCTGCAGAGCTTAATGTCCATAATCTCCGCTGCTGACTTTGAGCCTCCGGCCTAAATCCAGTGCGACTGACGCACTCCCGAGAGGAGAAGGCTCTTCCTAGAACATGGTTTGCAATCCAGGCATCCCTCATGTATACATCCTATATTACACACTTGTATACATGAAGCTGAGAATCGCATTAGCCTTTTCCGCTGCTGCACCACACTCTTGACTCATTTCTGGCATAGATAGGATAGATAGATAGATAGATAGATAGATAGATAGATAGATAGATAGATAGATAGATATAGATATAGATATAGATATAGATAGATAGATAGATAGATAGATAGATAGATAGATAGATAGAATGGTAGAGTTGGAAGGGGCCTCCAAAGGCCATCTAGCCCACCCCATTCTACCATAATAGGATAGATAGATATCTAGATAGGATGGATGGGTGGGTGGGTGGGTGGATGGATAGATAGATAGATAAATAGATATCTAGATAGATAGAATGGATGGATGGATGGATAGATGGATAGAAAGATAGATAGATAGAGTTGGAAGGGGCCTCCAAAGGCCATCTAGCCTACCGTATTCTACCATAATAGGATAGATAGATAGATAGATAGATAGATAGATAGATAGATAGGGTAAGTGGATGGATGGATGGATGGATGGATGGATGGATGGATGGATGGATGGATAGATAGATAGATAGATAGATAGATAGATAGATAGATAGATAGGATGGATGGATGGATGGATGGATGGATAGATAGGTAGATAGACAGATAGATATCTAGATAGGATGGATGGATGGATAGAGAGATAGATGGAATGGTAGAGTTGGAAAGGGCTTCCAAAGGCCATTTAGCCCACTCTCTTCTGCCATAATAGGATGGATAGATGGATGGATGGATGGATGGATAGATAGATAGATAGATAGATAGATAGATAGATATCTAGATGGAATGGATGGATGGAAAGATAGAATGCATAGAGTTGGAAGGGGCCTCCAAAGACCATCCAGCCCATCCTCTTCTGCTATAATAAATAGGTAGGTAGGTAGGTAGGTAGGTAGATGGAATGCTGGAGTTGGAAGGGGCCTCCAAAGGCCATCTAGCCCAACGAAACCTCCGCTTAATAGACAGATGGATAAATAGACAGATGGATAAATAGACAGATGGATAATAGACAGATGGATAGATAAATAGACACACAGACAGAATCCTAGAGTTGGAAGGGACACCTGAAGGCCATCCAGACCATCCCCTTCTGCCATAACAAATAGGTAGGTAAGTTGGTAGATAGATAGATGGAATGGTAGAGTTGGAAGGGGCCAAATCTAGTCCAACCTTGCCTCCAGAGAAGGAGATAGATAGATAGATAGATAGATAGATAGATAGGGATGCTAGGCCCTCCATCCCACCCCGCCGCTCACCGGTGAAGGGGTCCCAGAGGTGGAGGGCACTGTCACAGCTGAGGGCCAGCTGGGGCCCTTCCAGGGTTCCCACGTAGAAGATTGGCTTGCGGTGCTGGGTGTAGGTGAGCCGTGGCGGGGCCTCGTGGGCACCGTCCCCGTGGCTGTAGAGGGGCCAGAGGCGCACGCTGCGGTCCTTCCCACCGCTGAGGAAGAAGTCCTCCCCGGAGAGCGGGGCCAGGCACTTGACGGCGCCAGTGTGGCCCACGAAGCCCTGCAGCCGGATCTGGTGGAAGTGGAAGCGGGCCTCTTGCTGGCGGCTGACCCCGATCTCGTACTGCCAGTAGGCCAGCCAGTTGCCGCTCAGCTGCCGGGCACTGCGGGGGAGGCCCTCCTTCGGGGTCGGCCGTGCGGGACCCTCCGCCACCGCCGGCACTTGCAGCCGGTTGCCCACCAGCACGCCACCAAAGGTGCCCGAGCGGCCCTCCTCGCTGGCCCCACTGCCACACAGTGGGGGCTCCGGTGAGTGGGGTGGAGGTGGCGCCTCCGGACCTGCGTCGCTGGGGCACAGCTGGCTCCGGGGGCCCACACTGGGCAGGGAAAGCCCCGCCAGGTGACCCACCGTGGTGTGGTTGGGGACGACGGCCCGCATCACTTCCCCTGCAAGAGGAAGGAGGGTATTGGACGTGGAAGGGGTCGGCATAGAAGATACCCCACTGAGACACATATGGATACAACAACAACAACAACAACAATAAATACGTATCTATTATTATTATTATTATATTTATATTTATATCCCACTTAGATCCTTATATATACAGAATCTGCATAGAAGATAAAACTAATACAATACATATCCATTATTTTTATTATATTTATATCCCACTTAGATCCTTATATATACAGAATTGGCATAGAAGATATAACTAATACAATACATATCTATTATTATTATTATTGGCATAGAAGGTATAACTAATACAATACATATCTATTATTATTATTAATAATTATTATTGGCATAGAAGATATAACTAATACAATTATTATTATTATTATTATTATTATTATTATTATTATTATACCCCACTTAGATCCTTATATATACAGAATGGGCATAGAAGATACAACTAATACAATACATATCTATTATTATTATTATTATTATTATTATTATTATTATTATACCCCATTTAGATCCTTATATATACAGAATGGGCATAGAAGATACAACTAATACAATACTTATTATTATTATTATTATTATTATTATTATTATACCCCACTTAGATCCTTATATATACAGAATGGGCATAGAAGATACAACTAATACAATACATATCTATTATTATTATTATTATTATTATTATTATTATTATTATACCCCATTTAGATCCTTATATATACAGAATGGGCATAGAAGATACAACTAATACAATACTTATTATTATTATTATTATTATTATTATTATTATACCCCACTTAGATCCTTATATATACAGAATGGGCATAGAAGATACAACTAATACAATACATATCTATTATTATTATTATTATTATTATTATTATTATTATTATTATACCCCATTTAGATCCTTATATATACAGAATGGGCATAGAAGATACAACTAATACAATACTTATTATTATTATTATTATTATTATTATTATTATTATTATACCCCACTTAGATCCTTATATATACAGAATGGGCATAGAAGATACAACTAATACAATACATATCTATTATTATTATTATTATTATTATTATTATTATTATTATACCCCATTTAGATCCTTATATATACAGAATGGGCATAGAAGATACAACTAATACAATACTTATTATTATTATTATTATTATTATTATTATTATTATTATTATACCCCACTTAGATCCTTATATATACAGAATGGGCATAGAAGATACAACTAATACAATACATATCTATTATTATTATTATTATTATTATTATTATTATTATTATACCCCATTTAGATCCTTATATATACAGAATGGGCATAGAAGATACAACTAATACAATACTTATTATTATTATTATTATTATTATTATTATTATACCCCACTTAGATCCTTATATATACAGAATGGGCATAGAAGATACAACTAATACAATACATATCTATTATTATTATTATTATTATTATTATTATTATTATTATACCCCATTTAGATCCTTATATATACAGAATGGGCATAGAAGATACAACTAATACAATACTTATTATTATTATTATTATTATTATTATTATTATTATACCCCACTTAGATCCTTATATATACAGAATGGGCATAGAAGATACAACTAATACAATACATATCTATTATTATTATTATTATTATTATTATTATTATTATTATTTATACCCCACTTAGATCCTTATATATACAGAATGGGCATAGAAGATACAACTAATACAATACATATCTATTATTATTATTATTATTATTATTATTATTATTATTATTATACCCCATTTAGATCCTTATATATACAGAATGGGCATAGAAGATACAACTAATACAATACTTATTATTATTATTATTATTATTATTATTATTATTATAACCCACTTAGGTCCTTATATATACAGAATCGGCATAGAAGATACAACTACGGTAATACAATGCGTATCTATTACTATTATTATTATTATTATTATTATTTATACCCCACATCCCATATGAAGACACATATATATAATCTGCATCGACAATACAACTAATATAATACATAATATTTAATACCCCACTTTATGTAAAAACATATATAATTTGCATAGAAGATACAATACAATATGTATTTATTATTATTATATTATATTATATTAATTATTATATTTATTCATGCCCCATTTTATATGAAGACACATATAATCAATACATGTCTATTATTATTATTATTATTTCATTAATATATTTATTATATGCCTCACTGACAAAATATGTATCTATTATTATTATTAATATGCATAGAAGAGTGACTAATGCAATATATTATTATTATTATTATTATTATTATTATTATTATTATTACCCCATTTTATAAGAAAACATTTATATATATAATCTGCATAGAAGGTAAACTAATACAATATGTATTTATTTGAAACACAACGCAGGCAGAAAAGCAAGTCTGCGTCCACCCAAGACTACAAAGCCCATGATGCACGACGAAAGAGGCAGGCGGCTCCTACCTAACAAGCAGGAGAAGGGGACGAAGGTCATGTAGGCCATTTCTGGGCTGAAGACTTTCTGCAGCTCCAAAAGAGCCGAGGGGTCCGGGGGAGACGTCCTCACACCGGGGGGCTGCAGCATCACGTCCTGGGTGGGAAGGAAGGAAGGAAGGAAGGAAGGAAGGAAGGAAGGAAGGAAGGAAGGAAGGAAGGAAGGAAGGAAGGAAGGAAGGGAGAAGTAGAATAGCAAAGCAATCACTGGGCCATGAAAGTGCCATTATTTATTATTATTATTATCAGTATTATTATATTATATATTATTATAATATATTATTATTATGTATTATTACCATTATCAGTATTATTATATTAAGCATTATTACAATATGTTATTATTATGTATGATCATTATCAATATTGTTATATTATATTATGCATTATTATTATGTATTTATACCTCACTTTTTCTCTTCGCAAGGACACTCAAAGTGGCTCTGTATGCATTATTAGTATTAGAATGAATTATTATTATAATATATTATTATTATGTATTATTATTATGTATTTATTATGTATTTATACCTCACTTTTTCTCTTCGCAAGGACACTCAAAGTGGCTCTGTATGCATTATTAGTATTAGAATGAATTATTATTATAATATATTATTATTATGTATTATTACCATTATCAGTATTATTATATTAAGCATTATTACAATGTTATTATTATGTATGATCATTATCAATATTGTTATATTATATTATGCATTATTATTATGTATTTATACCTCACTTTTTCTCTTCGCAAGGAGACTCAAAGTGGCTCTGTATGCATTATTAGTATTAGAATGAATTATTATTAGTATAATAATATAATTATTATATTATACTTTATTATTATACATTATTATTATTATATTTTATTATTAATACTATTATATTATGATTATTATATAATATTACAATTTATTTATTTATACCCCATTTTTTTCTCTCCACCAGGAAACTCAAAGTGGCTATGTATCCATGATTAGTATTAGAACGTGTATTGTTATTATTATTATTATTATTATTATTATGTGTATTCATAGCCTGCCTTTCTCTCCCACAGATAACTCAACGTGCCTATGTATCCATTAGTATTAGAACATTTATTATTATTATGTGTATTCATAGCCCGCCTTTCCCTCCTCCAGATGACTCAACGTGCCTATGTATCCATGATTAGTATTAGAACGTGTATTATTATTATCATTATAATTATTATTGTGTATTCATAGCCCGCCTTTCCCTCCACCAGATGACTCAACGTGCCTATGTATCCCTGTTTAGTATTAGAATGTATTATTATTATTATTATTATTATTATTATTATTATTATTATTATGTGTATTCACACCCCACCTTTCCCTCCACCAGATGACTCAACGTACCTATGTATCCATTATTATTATTATTATTATTATTATTATTATTATTATTATTATTATTATGTGTATTCATAGCCCGCCTTTCCCTCCACCAGATGACTCAACGAGCCTATGTATCCATGATTGGTATTACAACGTGAATTATTATTATTATTATTATTATTATTATTATTATTATATTGTTATTATTATTATTATTATGTGTATTCATACCCCACCTTTTCCCTTCACCAGATGACTCAATGTGCCTATGTAGCCATGATTAGTATTAGAATGCATAATAATAATAATAATAATTATTATTATTATTATTATATTGTTGTTGTTTTGTTGTTGTTGTTGTTATTATTATTATTATTATTATTATTATTATTATTATTATTATTATTATTATTATTATTGTGTATTCATACCCTGTGGCTCTGTATGCATGATTAGTTTCCCTGCCTTGACCTGGCCAGAAGGATGACCCTTCTCTGGCCGACTCACCTGCTCCAAGACGGAAAAGCTTTGGAAGAACATGCGCAGAGTGTCGCTCAGGTGCAGCTGCGCCATCTCCGCCCCGATGCGCAGGCAAACCAGGGCGGCCAGGCTGGCGGTCTTGAGGCAGAGGGCGGTCCGGGCTTGGGCTCCGCCGGGGAAGCTGAGAAGGGAGGCGGGCGTTAGGCCCGTCTGGATGACCTCTGGTGGTCCCAGTCTCAGCCAGTTGGGCTCCAGTATGGCCCAGTTCCCGCTTTACCTGATGGTGGGCGAAGTGAGGAAGTCGAGGGTGGGCAGCAGGACCTCCTGGCTGACTTTGGGGAGGATGTCCATCAGCGTGGAGTCCGAGAGGGAGGCCACTGCCTTGCGGGTCAGCGTCACGGCCGCCAGGAGAGACGCCTCTTTGCGGCTGTTCAGTCGCCCGGCGGACGCCCCACTACCCGGAGCCACCTAGGAGGAGAAGGTGATGTATAGCTCATTAGTCCCCATTGTCAATAATATTAAAAATTAACTCGGTATTTGTAATTACAATAATGTGAAAGGGTTAAATGGATGCAACGATTCAGAAAAAGCTGCAGTTCAATATAAGTGTGCCTGTAGGTTAGTGGGCCTCAGTGGGAGAAAGGTCTCAGTCTGTGAGAAGGCCTTACAGTGTGAGGTTGGCCTCAGTCTGTGAGAGAAGCCTCTGTGTGAGATCCGAGGGGCATCCATTAAAGATTTATCCTGACCCACTTCTATTTATCACAGGACGCACACCAAAGGAGACGTTTGCCTCAGTGGGAGAAAGGTCTCAGTCTGTGAGAAGGCCTCACAGTGTGAGGTTGGCCTCAGTCTGTGAGAGAAGCCTCTGTGTGAGATACGAGGGGCATACATTAAAGATTTATCCTGACCCACTTCTATTTATCACAGGACGCACACCAAAGGAGACATTTGCCTCAGTGGGAGAAAGGTCTCAGTCTGTGAGAAGGCCTCACAGTGTGAGGTAGGCCTCAGTCTGTGAGACAAGCCTCTGTGTGAGATACGAAGGGCATACATTAAAGATTTCCCTTGACCCACTTCTATTTATCACAGGACGCACACCAAAGGAGACATTTGCCTCAGTGGGAGAAAGGTCTCAGTCTGCGAGAAGGCCTCACAGTGTGAGGTAGGCCTCAGTCTGTGAGACAAGCCTCTGTGTGAGATACGAAGGGCATACATTAAAGATTTCCCTTGACCCACTTCTATTTATCACAGGACGCACACCAAAGGAGACATTTGCCTCAGTGGGAGAAAGGTCTCAGTCTGCGAGAAGGCCTCACAGTGTGAGGTAGGCCTCAGTCTGTGAGACAAGCCTCTGTGTGAGATACGAAGGGCATACATTAAAGATTTCCCTTGACCCACTTCTATTTATCACAGGACGCACACCAAAGGAGACGTTTGCCTCAGTGGGAGAAAGGTCTCAGTCTGTGAGAAGGCCTCACAGTGTGAGGTAGGCCTCAGTCTGTGAGAGAAGCCTCTGTGTGAGATACGAAGGGCATACATTAAAGATTTCCCTTGACCCACTTCTATTTATCACAGGACGCACACCAAAGGAGACGTTTGCCTCAGTGGGAGAAAGGTCTCAGTCTGTGAGAAGGCCTCACAGTGTGAGGTAGGCCTCAGTCTGTGAGAGAAGCCTCTGTGTGAGATACGAGGGGCATACATTAAAGATTTCCCTGACCCACTTCTATTTATCACAGGACGCACACCAAAGGAGACGTTTGCCTCAGTGGGAGAAAGGTCTCAGTCTGTGAGAAGGCCTCACAGTGTGAGACAGGCCTCAGTCTGTGAGAGAAGCCTCTGTGTGAGATACGAGGGGCATACAAAGCAGTTATGTATCTGTATTAGAATGTATTATTATTATTATATATTATTATTATCATGTTTATTTATACCCCACTTTTTCTCTCCACAAAGTACTCAAAGCAGCTATTATCTGTATTAGAATGTATTATTATTATTTTATGATTATATTATTATTATTATTATTATTTATACCCCACTTTCTCTCTCCACAAGGGACTCGAAGCAGCTATGTATCTGTATTAGAATGTATTATTATTATTATTATTATTATATTATTGTGTATTTATACCCCCACTTTTTCTATCCACAAGGGACTCAAAGCAGCTATGTATCTGTATTAGAATGTATTATTATTATTATTATTATTATTTTATATTATGATTATATTATTATTATTATTATGTTTATTTATACCCCACTTTCTCTCTCCAGAAGGGACTCAAAGCCGCTATGTATCTGCATTAGAATGTATTATTATTATTATTATTATTATTATTATTATTATTATTATTATGTTTATTTATACCCCACTTTTTCTCTCTACAAGGGACTCGAAGCAGCTATGTATCTGTATTAGAATGTATTATTATTATTATTATTATTATTATTATTATTATTATTATTATGTTTATTTATACCCCACTTTTTCTATCCACAAGGGACTCAAAGCAGCTATGTATCTGTATTAGAATGTATTATTATTATTATTATTATTATTATTATTATTATTATTTTATATTATGATTATATTATTATGTTCATTTATACCCCACTTTCTCTCTCCAGAAGGGAGTCAAAGCAGCTATGTATGTGTATTAGAATGTATTATTATTCTTTTATATTATGATTATGTTTATTTATACCCTACTTTTTCCCTCTGCATAAGGATGTCAACATGCCCAGGGGAAGCAACAGACAACCCCATGTCTGCGAATGCTTGCTTTGCCCCGATGGCGACACTGACCAGGTAGGCAGCATAGGGCAGGTAGAGGTAGGTGAGGACGGGCTCCCCGTAGAGATGTGCCAGGTGGGCCAGGCAGGCCAGGACGGGCTCCGAGACCAGGTCGCCCTGCACCAACCGCTCCTGGAAGATGCTCCCGCCGCCCGGGGGGCCGCTATCCTCGGACACCGCCCCGGGCACAAGCTGCTGTCTGGCGGGACCTGCAAAGAAAAGGGGTGGTCAGAGCAGCGCCACACCGGCATGGACCCCCTCATCTCTCTACAGGATGACCCTCTTACCGACGTAGCAGGAGGTCAAGAGGCGGAGGAGGTTCCTGGCGATGTAGCGGGAGGCCGTGGTGGGGCCGAGCTTGGCCGAGAGCCAGCGCACCATCTTGCAGGCCGTGTCTAAGGGGAGAGGAGACATAGGGTAACCCATTGGGAGGGGACGACAACGCTACTCTCTGAATACACGGATAAATGGGAGGCGGGGCTCACCCAGCAGGACAGTCCGCTCATTGTCGCCTGGGGGGTGCGGCAGACCCCGCTCGTCCCGCTCGGTCCCGGCGGTCGCCCCGCCGTCCTCATCTTCGGCCTCGTCTAGAGAATGGCCGGCGGGTGTTGCCGTTGACAGGCCGTTGATGGGCCCTTCCTCCTCTTCTTCCTCATCCTCGTCCTCCATCCCTTCTTCTTCCTCCTCTTCTTCCTCTGCGGGATGCTCTTCCTCCTCCTCGTCTTCCTCCTCCTCGTCTTCCTCGCTGTGCTTGAGCTCCTGGCTGCTGCCCAAGCTACGCTCCTTCTGGTCCTCCGCCTCGCTGGCGCTGCTCCGGTCGCTCGCCCGGCCCAGGCTACTGGAGTCACCCTCCTCGCCCGCCGGAGGGCCCTCCGAGGACACGTAGAGCCCGTTCGGAAAGTCCTCGCCCTCCGTCGGGTAGCCCTGGTCGTGGAGGCTGACTCCGGAAAGGAAGTCCAGCAGCCGTTCACGAGGGGCCGCCGACCCCTTGTCCTCCTCCTCCTCCCCGGGGCCACCAACTCCAGTTTCCTCCTCCTCCTCCTGCAAGGCATCCGCAGCTCCCCCCTCGGCCACCAAGACCTGCAGGATGTGCGGAAGGAGGCTGGAGAGGAAGACCGGCAGCCCGAGACGGACCAGCAGCTGGGCCACGAAACAGTCCGTGTAGAGGTAGAACCGGCCGCGGGGTCCACGGGGGTTCTCGTAGGCGGCCACCAGCAGCTTCAGCAGGTACTTGTTGGCGTTACGCGGGCCCAGCGCCCGGGCGACAGGCTCAAAGAGGTACCAGGCGGCGTGTACGGCGGTCTGCTCACCGGACATCAGGGCCAACACGAAGGGCAGCAAGATCTCCAGGCCCTCGGGGGTGACAGCGGCCAGGACGGCCTCCAACTGCTGCCACAGGCGGAAGACCAGCTCGCGGCCGTGGCCCTCCTCCGCCCGTGCGGGGCGCAGGGAGCAGGTCAGGACGAAGCGGTGCAGCGCCGGGAAGTAAGCCGGGAAGGGCAGCACCCCACTGAAGGGGCTCAGCAGCTGTGCGGGGCTTGGTGGAGGCAGTCCCTGCCACACCGGCTCGTACGCGAACAGAGGACCCTTCCGCCCGGCGGCCCCACTACACGTCTGGCCCTCCTCCCGGAGCTGCAGCAAGATGTCCAAGAGGTGTTGCAAGGGTGGCGGGATCTCCTTGGGGTGCAAGCGGCACAGTGCAACGGCTGCCTGGTGGCGCTCCCAAAGTGAGGCCTCAGGACCCACCGTCCGCAGCCTGGGGGCGAAGACGATCTCAGCCACCAGAACGCCCAAAGCCTGCATGTCCCGTTGGAAGAGGTCCGAAAGGGAGACGGGAGTTCCGTCGAGGAGCTCCTCCGCCTGTTTTCCGGTCCCTTGCACCGCTCGCTGAAGGAAGGCGTGCAGCTTCTCCAGCTCCTCCAGCGGCTGCAGCGGGCGGAAGCCGTCTGGGAGGTGGATCTTGGCCTCCCCGGTTTCCGCGGCCAGACCTTTGTTCGTCCTCCGGCCCTGAGTCTTGCTTTCCGTGGGAGACGTGCTCGGAAGCTCTACTGGTGTCCCGCCTCGCCCGGGCGCAGGGAGGGCCTCCAAGGCTTCGGCCCCTTGTTCCACCTCTTCTTCCTCCAAGGCGACGTCGGAGGGGGGTCCCTCGAGGACGCGGGCCTCGCGGACGGCGGGGAGGAGGGGTCGGGCAGCGATGGGGGCCTCGGGTGGGGGGAGTCCCGCTGGACGTCGGGGGTGTGGCTGATCGAAGAGCTGGACGACCCCAAAACTGGTCAGATGGGTATGGTTGTCCACCAAGTGGAGGCAGACGTTCTTCTCCTGCACGGCCGCCTGGCCCTGTAACTTGTAGCCGAAGGTCAGGTCGATCCAGTGGTGGAGGTCCTGGGACACCTCCTTGCTCTCCAGCAGGGCCCGGTGCGCGGCCACGAAGGCCTCCCCGGAGCCAAACCAAGGGGGCGCTTCCAGGTCGGGCATGTCCGGGTGGATGGAGCGGAAGACGTCCGGGTCCGAGAAGAACTCGGGGATGCACTCGTCGGGGGTCCAGCCCTGCATTCGGCCCACGCTGGCCGGGTACTCGTTGGGCTCCCACTGGGAGCGTACGTGGGCACACAGCACCGATCGGGGCGTCCGGCGGGCCGTGTAGACGTAGTAGGTGATGTCCGAGAGCACGTCCGAGACGTGGTGCGGCACGTGGGGGGGCTCGCCAGATCCTGGCCCCCCACCCCCGGCCGCGAAGGCCTGCTTGGTCATCTCGTAGGTGAAGTCCAGCTGCTTGTCGCCCTTGTTGAGGCGGAACTTGGACTTGCGGAGGTCGCGGAACTTCCCGTCGCGGGTGCTGAAGTCCACCACCCAGGGAAGCACCGGGTGGTAGTTGGGGTCGCCTGCCCGCCGGCCCGCCAGGCGGTTGAGATGCATCAGGTAGTCGAAGTTGCTCAAGCGGCCGGAGACCCAGTCCTGGACCAGTTCTCCCAGCGACGTGCTGCCGGATGGCGTGTCGACAGAACCACGTTCAACTGGACTCGTGCTCTCTTCCTCCTCCTCCTCCTCTTCGTAGTCCTGCAGCCGGACCCTGAGCCAAGCGCAGAGCTTCTCGTCGACGGCCACTTCGCGCAACGAGAGGGCCCCGCACGCCACCCCGGCTCGGTGGCAGGCCTGCATGGCTTGCAGCACCTGAAACAGGACGAAGAGAAGCTTGGCATGGCTGTTGGTCAGCTTGGCCGGGCTGAAGGTCACCACGTCGTGGAGGCAGTACTGGACGTAGGGGAAAAGCACGTAGAGCATTTGGGGCGACTCCAGCAAGGCCTCCGCCGGAAGGAGGCTCGGACAGGGCGGCGACGACGAGGGGACCTTGCTCGGGGCAGGACCCTCTTTCGGGAGACCAGCGCAGGGGAGCCAGGGGCAACCATACAGCCTCTGTAGAGCCCCCCGGAGCGCCTCCAGCGCTGGGGTAGAGGCCACGCTAGGGGCCCGGGAGTAGGGCCGAGCGTGTAGGCGGTGCGCCCGCCGCCAAAGGTTGCGATAGTTCTGGGCGGCCACTTGGCGCATGAAGCCGTGCAACGTCTCCGGCCCCTCTTTGCCCTCGGCGGTGTACCCAACCGCCATCCGGTAGCGCAGCCGCTCCTTCCGCAGGCCGTGGATCTCCACGCGCACCCATCCGGCGGGCAGCTTCTGCACTGAGGGCTGCAGGCAGGTGCGGACCTCCACCTCGCTCAGACCCTCCGGCCGTGGACACGGACCGGGTGGAAAGGCAGGACGCTCCTTCAGGCTGGACAGCCACTTCTGAGGCACCAACGCCACCAGGTGAGCACCGCCCGCCGCGGCTGCCAACTGACCACGGCCGATACCCAGGTCCCTCTCCACTTGGCCCAGGAGGGCCTCCATCCTGCGGGAAGAAGAGGGCAGCCGGTCAGACTCTGGCCAACATAGTGGCCTCTAGTTACTATTAGTAATATTTGACTTTATTTTTACCCCACATTTCCCATTATTATTATTATTATTATTATTATTATTATTATTATTATTCTGCCTTCTTACCTATATAGCACGCATGGGCAAACTTTGGCCCTCCAGGTGGTTTGGACTTCAACTCCCATAATTTCTAACCACTGGTTGTGGGAGTTGAAGTCCAACTGGAGGGATAAAGTTGGCCCATACCCGGTATAAATAAATACATAATAATAATAATAATAATAATAATAATGTGTAATAATAATAATACATTCTAATACTAATCATGGGTACATGGTTTCCTGAGTCTCCTGAACGCAGGGTATGACTACACATAATAATAATAATGTGTAATAATAATAATAATACATTTTAATACAAATCATGGTTACATGGTTTCCCGAGTCTCCTGAAAGCAGGGTATGAATACACATAATAATAATAATAATAATAATAATAATAATAATAATAATAATAATAATAATAATCAGGTATGAATACACATAATAATAATAATAATAATAATAATAATAATAATAATAATAATAATAATAATAATAATACTTTCTAATACTAATCATGGGTACATGGTTTCCTGAGTCTCCTGAAAGCAGGGTATGACTACACATAATAATAATAATAATAATAATAATAATAATAATAATAATAATAATAATAATAATAATGTATAATAATAATAATAATAATAATACTTTCTAATACAAATCATGGTTACATGGTTTCCCGAGTCTCCTGAAAGCAGGGTATGAATACACATAATAATAATAATAATAATAATAATAATAATAATAATGTATAATAATAATAATAATAATAATACTTTCTAATACAAATCATGGTTACATGGTTTCCCGAGTCTCCTGAAAGCAGGGTATGAATACACATAATAATAATAATAATAATAATAATAATGTATAATAATAATAATAATAATAATAATAATAATACTTTCTAATACTAATCATGGGTACATGGTTTCCTGAGTCTCCTGAAAGCAGGGTATGACTACACATAATAATAATAATAATAATAATAATAATAATAATAATAATAATACTTTCTAATACTAATCATGGGTACATGGTTTCCTGAGTCTCCTGAAAGCAGGGTATGACTACACATAATAATAATAATAATAATAATAATAATAATAATAATAATGCGTAATAATAATAATAATAATACATTCTAATACTAATCAGGTATGAATACACATAATAATAATAATAATAATAATAATGTGTAGTAATAATAATAATAATGTGTAATAATAATAATAATAATAATACTTTCTAATACTAATCATGGGTACATGGTTTCCTGAGTCTCCTGAAAGCAGGGTATGACTACACATAATAATAATAATAATAATAATAATAATGAGTAATAATAATAATACATTCTAATACTAATCAGGGTTACATGGTTTCCTAAGTCTCCTGAAAGCAGGGTATGAATACACATAATAATAATAATAATAATAATAATAATAATAATAACAATAATAATATATCCATATATAGGTAAAGGTAAAAGTTTCCCCCTGACGTTAAGTCCAGTCGTGTCCAACTCTGGGGGTTGGTGCTCATCTCCATTTCTAAGCCAAAAAGCCGGCGTTGTCTGTAGACACCTCCAAGGTCATGAGGCCTGCATGACTGCAAGGAGCACTGTTACCTCTCCCCACCCCCCACCCCCCGGAGCGGTACCTATTGATCTACTCCAGGGCCGTAGCCAGAAAAAAAATTCGGGGAGGGTTGACAATTTGGGGGGGGGGGTTGAAAATTTGGGGGGGGGGTTGAAAATTTCGGGGAGGGTTGAAAATTTTGGGGGGTGGTGAACCTTCCATAGCTTGCAGTTCCACCCCTGTCAACCACCTCCACCAAGTCTGGCCTCCTTAATGAGAGTTGCTGCAAGTAATGACAGTGTGAATAAATTGTCAATATTTGCTTGAGATAGTGCTTACAGTTCTGGAGGGACTCTTAATTTTTTGCATCTCATAGACTTAGCAGCATGGGGATTTGGTTAACCAGATAAAACCAGACATTACTATTATTATCCTGCCTTTCCTTCTATATAGGGACTAGCAGCACTATATATACATACACATATTCAACATTATCTCTGCAATGCATCCCCAATATTTATATTTATGATTATTATTAAATTATTATTATTATTATTATTATTATCCTGCCTTTCCTTCTATATAGGAACTTAAATGGACTAGCAGCAATATATATATATATATATATATATATATATATATATATATAATTCAACATTATCTCTGCAATGCAGCCCCAATTCAGACTTTGCAGATATTATTATTATTATTATTATTATTATTATTATTATTATTTTACTTTATTTAATCCACTTTTCCCCCATTGCAAAACACATCTATATATAAAACAATTCAACCTTCTCCTTGCAATGCAGCCCCCTTTGCATATATTGTTGCATTGCATTGCATAAATTGTTGTTGTTGTTGTTTTGCTTTGTTTCCAATCCCACATTTAATAATCAAATAATGCTAATGTTGAAGGCACAGACCTTCCTGGCTTCTGCTCTTCGCAGGTCAGCTGATCAGGGCAGGGTCACGTGACACACAGAGAGAGAGGCGCTTGCAAGAGCAAGAGAGGCCCGCGCATGCGCAGAGGAGGTTCCCTCTTTCCCTCTGAGCACTGCAGCATTGGAACTTCTTAGAACTATTTTTTAAAATATAATAATAATAATAATACCATTCAGACTTATAATACTTATAAGATTTATTTGTTGTAATAGTTTTTAGAGATTTATTATATCATTTATTATAGGGATTTATTTATTATATTATTTTGTATCATTTTATTTATATTATATATTTATATTATTTGATTTATTATATCTTTTATTATAGAGATGTATTGTATTATTTATGTATTAATTTATTTATATTATATATTATATATTTATTAGATGTATTAGATTTATTAGAGTATTTATTATAGAAATTTATTTATTATATTATTTATATATTATTTACATTTATATCTATATTATATTTATTTTATTATATTTATATCATTATAATTTTATTATTTATTTATATATTATTAATTATATTTATATTATATTATTATTATATTTATTATATATTTATTAATTTATTATATTATTTCTATATTATTTATTATATATTATTATTTATTATATTATTTATATATTAATTTATTTATATTATATATTATATATTTATATTACTTATTTATTATATCATTTATTATAGAGGTTTATTATATTATTTATATATTAATTTATTTATATTATATATTATATATTTATTATTTATTAGATTATTTATTATAGAGATTTATTTATTATAGAGATTTATTATATTGTTTATACATTATTTAATTTATATTATATTATTTATATATTATTTTTATTTATATCTGTATTACACATTTATATTATTTATTATAGGGATTTATTTGTTGTCATATTTTTGCCTTTGGTCCCTATATCAGGAGAATTGTAGTTCCATAATAATAATAATAATAATAATAATAATAATAATAATAAGGCCTTGCCGTGGTAATAATACTTTATAAAGCAAATTATTGTTGATAATAAGTACAGGGGTAATATTAATTAATAAAGTAAATTAATAATAGCAATAATATTTTTGCCTTGAGTCCCTATATCAGGAGAATTGTAGTTCCATAACAACAACAACAACAACAACAACAACAACAACAGTAATAAGGCCTTGCTGTGGTAATACTACTTTATAAATTAAATTGTTAATAATAAGTACAAAGTAATAGCAATAATAATAAGTACAGGGGTAATATTAATTAATAAAGTAAATTAATAGCAATATTTTTGCCTTGAGTCCCTATATCAGGGAAAAGGGGCAAAAATCAATACTACTACTACTACTACTACTAATAATAATAATAATAATAATAATACTTATAGAGATAGCATCACTTTATTGGTTTCTTGTGAGTGTTCCGGGCTGCCTGGGCATGTTCCAGCAGCATTCTCTCCTGACATTTTACCTACATCTATGGCAGGCATCCTCAGAGGTTGAGAAGCTGTTGGAAAACTAAGCAAATGGGGTTGAATAATGTCCAGGGTGGGAGAAAGAATTGTTGTCTGTTGGGGAGCAAGTGTGAATGTTGCCATTGGACAACTTGATCAGCATTGAATCGCCTTGCAGCTTCAAAGCCTGGCTGCTTCCTGCCTGGGGGAATCTTTTATTGGGAGGTGGGCGGTCAGTGTTTCCCGTAATGTATGGTAAGGACACTTTTCCTCTGGGTGGATCTTTGCCTTGACCCCCATGGCTTTGTCCTGGCCTTGCAGCTCTTCTAAGGAAGGAAAGGAATTACCAGACATTCAGAACAATAGTCTGGCTAGCTTGTAGGACTCGCCAGCCCCTTGGACATTTCCTGAATTTCCATAATCCACTCAAAAATACATTGTATTCCCTTGTCCCACCTCCCTCCCTTCTGATTCGTCAAAGCACTGAGGCGGCAGAAGCCCTCTGATTGGCCCAGGCGTGCAGCAGAAGCCTTGTGATTGGCCCAGGCGCTCAAGAGGCGGCCAAGCCTCCTCCCAACTGTTGAAGCGCCAGCCAATCACCTTCAAGCTGGGCGGAGGGCGAGGAGCGGGAGATTCAAATCAGACAACTCTGTTTCTCTATAAAAATGGCTTTTATTTGTACTCATGCATGCTTAGCTTGGCGAATGATTGCTGCTCTGCATCCTTTTCAGCTGAATTGCTAATAAAACATCTCGGTGGCGCTTCTTCAACTTTGATGAGACCTTGATTAGCATCGAATGGCCTTGCAGCTTCAAAGCCTGGCTGCTTCCTGCCTGGGGGAATCCTTTATTGGGAGGTAGAAGGTCAGTGTTTCTTAGGTGAATGTTTTAGTTGCAGCCATTCAGAACAATAGTCTGGCTAGCTTGTAGGCCTTTAGGACTCGCCAGCCCCTTGGACATTTCCTGAATTTCCATAATCCACTCAAAAATACATTGTCTTCCCTTCTCCCATCTCCCTCCCTCCTGATTTGTTGAAGCGCCGAGGCGGCAGAAGCGCTCTAATTGGCCCAGGCGCGCAGCAGAAACCTTGTGATTGGCCCAGGCGCTCGAGAGGCGGACAAGCGTCCTCCCAGCTGTTGAAGCGGCGGCCAAACACCTTCAAGCCGGGCGGAGGGCGGAGAGTGGGAGATTCAAACTGGACAACTCTGTTTCCAGCATACTCATGTATGCGTAACTTGGCGAATGATTGCTGCTCTGCATCCTTTTCAGCTGAATTTATTTATTTATTTATTTACTTTGCTTCTATACCGCTGTATCTCAAGCCCGAAGGCGACTCACAGCGGTTCACAAACAGTAAAAACAGTAGAAACAGCAGTGGTTCCATACAACATATAACAATTGCCTTAACACATTATCCATAAATTACCAATAAGCAATTACAATGCACAATTATTACAAAAAACAACTGTACCCAATCTTCTCATCATCCAAGCATAGTCCAGGTTCGTCGTCCATTGTTCCATTCCTATGTTCCATTACCAGATTGCACTAAATTACTCAAACGCCTGCACAAACATCCAGGTCTTCAACTTTCTTCGGAATGCTATGAGAGATGGCGCCAGCCTAATGTCTGTAGGAAGGGCGTCCACAGCCGAGGAGCCACCACCGAGAAGGCCCGATCTCTCGTCCCCGCCAAACGTGCTTGAGAAGCCGGCGGGATCGAGAGCAGGGTCTCCCTGGAAGATCTCAAAGTCCTGGTGGGTTCATAGGCCGAGATGCGGTCGGAAAGGTATCTTGGGCCGGAACCGTTTAGGGCTTTAAAGGCCAATGCCAACACCTTGAATTGAGCCCGGTAGCAAATTGGCAGCCAATGGAGCTGGCGCAACAGGGGGGTCGTGTGCTCCCTGCGCTCCGCTCCTGTTAGAATCATGGCTGCCGCACGTTGGACTAATTGAAGCTTCCAGGCTGTCTTCAAGGGCAGCCCCACGTAGAGAGCGTTGCAGTAGTCTAGGCGGGATGTGACAAGAGCGTGGACTACTAATAAAACATCTCGGTGGTGCTCCCTTCAACCTTGGTGAGATTCTTTTTAAATTTCCTATTGATTTCAATGGCTTAGTCTTGGCCTTGCAGCTCTTCTGATGTCTTTGGTGGAGTCTCCATTGGCCTGAATTGGGGCCGCAGTAGCAAGGTCCGGCCAGGAGATGGCAGCAAAGGGCATGTCTGGAGGAAAGGGAAGGGCGGGGTCGCATTGCTGGCATTCCAAGGCTCAACGTCATTGGGCCAGGGAGGGGATAGCATCATATTTATTATATTATATTATATTATATTATATTATATTATATATATTATATTATATTATATTATATTTATATTATATTATATTATATTATATTATATTATATTATATTATATTATTATATATATAGAGAGAGATTTTTACTTACTAGTATTTATTTATCATATGTTATAAAATTAGGTAAAAAAGGTAATATTATAATATTAGGTAATATTATAATATTATTAGTTTACTTTCATTATGTATTATTATATTTTTATATTATTATTTATCCTTCTTTTATTGTGTAATTAATTTTATTATTATATTAAATTTATTATTGTGTATTATATTAATTTTATTAATTTTTCTCATAAAATCACTCTCAACAAAAGATTTTCCCCCAGGCACTTCCAAGCCATTGAATGCTAATCAAGGTGATCAGCTGAAACATTCACACCTAGCTCCAGCAGACAGGAGTCCTTTGTCCCACCCTGGTCATTCCACAGATATATAAACCCATTTTTCCTACCTCCAACAGACCTCACTACCTCTGAGGTTGCTTGCCATAGATGCAGGCAAAACGTCAGGAGAAAAATTGCCTCTAGAACATGGCCATATAGCCCGGAAAAACCTACAACAACCCAGTGATCCCGGCCATGAAAGCCTTCGACAATACATTTTCTCATTTTATTATAATTTATTGTTATTATGTGTTATGCTATAATTTATTATTATTTTATATATATATATATATATATATATAGAGAGAGAGAGAGAGAGAGAGAGAGAGAGAGATTTTTACTTACTAGTAGTTATTTATCATATGTTATTAGGTAAAAAAGTAATATAATAATAGGTAATATTATAATATTATTAGTTTACTTTCATTCTGTATTATTGTATTATTTATATTATTACTTTTATTACATATAATTATATTATTTATTTATTTTTTCTTTTATTATGTTATTCATATTATTATTATTATATTAAATTTATTATTGTGTATTATATTATTTGTATTAGTTTTTCTCATTATTATAATTTATTGTTATTTTGTGTTATGTTATTATTATTACTTGTATTCATTTTTTTATTTCTCGTTGCAATATAATAGGGACTCAAGAGGACAAACAGATTGGAGGAGTGCATTAATCGAAACAGATCAAACATTACAATTAATATTATATAATTTGAATTTATTGTTTTATTATATATTATTATATTTTATTTTTTATTATGCACTTTAATTATTTATTTTGTTATTATATTAGTTTCCTTTAATTTTAATTTATTATTACATTAT